TTCAGGTCAATGTGATAATTGATCGACTTTGATAACGACAGAATTTTACACATCTCGTGTTGTTATGCTAATCATTTTTTACGGAAAGCATGTTTACAATGTACGACGTTTTGCTAATTACACAAGAAAGCGAATTTAAAAAAGAAAGAAAAATAATTTTTTGAAACTATATTCATTAACTTTCCTTTCAATATAGATTGGGGTAGATCTGTTTGTTAAACTTTTATCTACGTTATTTTTAGTTCGCTAGATGGCCGGGGTTCGATTCCCTAATTAGACGTGATAAGTATCGAGTCACGTGCCTGGCAACGTGAGCTTTCCTCGGGTGCTTTAGTTTAAGGCGACAGTTTGTTTCGGAATGGCTGTAAAAGAAACTTTCTAGCTATGGTCTAGGTGACGAAATCTGTGACAGTATTTAACAGTCAGTACTGAAGTGGTTGATATACAACGTTTGTGTAGATATAGAAAGGAAATCTGACTATCGACCACGACAACGGAACCATTCGGAATTCATAAATAATCAGAGCCTTCGGACTAAATAGAGAGCTGGAACTCTTCGGACGAGATAGATAGTCAGAACCTTTCCGACATGTAGACAATCTGAAGCCTTCGGAAGTAGATTGAAGGCACCTTTCGAACTAAATAGATTATCGAAATCCAACGAAATAGATAGATAGTCAGAACCCTTCGGTCTAGATAGATAGTCAGAGCCCTACGGGCGAGATAGATTGTTGGAGCCCTTCGGGCGAGATAAATAGTCAGAACCCTTCGGTCTAGATAGATTGTCGGAACCCTTCGGTCTAGATAGATAGTCAGAGTCCTTCGGTCTAGATAGATAGTCAGAGTCCTTCGGTCTAGATAGATAGTCAGAGCCCTTCGGTCTAGATAGATAGTCAGAGTCCTTCGGTCTAGATAGATAATCAGAGTCCTTCGGTCTAAATAGATAGTCAGGACCCTTCAGACTAGATAGATTGTCGGAACCCTTCTGTCTGGATAGATAGTCAGAGCCTTTCGGGCGAGATAGATAGTAAGAGTCCTTCGGTCTAGATAGATAGTCGGAACCCTTCGGTCTAGATAGATAGTCGGAACCCTTCGGTCTAGATAGATAGTCGGAACCCTTCGGTCTAGATAGATAGTCGGAACCCTTCGGTCTAGATAGATAGTCAGGACCCTTCAGACTAGATAAATAGTCAGGACCCTTCGGGCGAGATAGTTAGTCAGGACCCTTAGGTCTAGATAGATAGTCAAGACCCTTCAGACTAGATAAATAGTCAGAATCCTTCGGTCTGGATAGATAGTCAGAACCCTTCGGTCTAGATAGATAGTCAGAGCCCTTCGGGCGAGATAGATAGTCAGAACCCTTCGGTCTAGATAGTTAGTCGGAATCCTTCGGTCTGGATAGATAGTCAGAGCCCTTCGGTCTAGATAGATAGTCAGAGCCCTTTGATCTAGATAGTTAGTCGGAACCCTTCGGTCTAGATAGATAGTCAGAACCCTTCGGTCTAGATAGATAGTCAGAGCCCTTCGATCTAGATAGATAGTCAGAGCCCTTCGGTCTAGATAGATTGTCGGAACCTTTCGGTCTAGATAGATAGTCAGAGCCCTTCGGTCTGGATAGATAGTCGGAACCATTCGGACAAGATACATAGACGGAACCTTTCGAACAAGATATATATTCGGAACCCTTCGGACTAAAAAGATAGTTGGAACCCATCAGATTCCATTATAAACAGAAATATTTGAAACCGAAGCATACAACTCATTATTCCTGTTAGATAATCACGATCTCAACACGAAACGAAATCAATAGCGTTTACAGCCATCTACCAATACCCTCTCTGTTGGTTGATTACGATTCGAGTACGAAATCGATCGTTATTTCGTAAGTAGCTTTAATTACATTGTTACAGTTCGTGTCCGAGTTCACATCTAAGATTATTTTTGTCAAAGAGTACGTATCGCAACCAATCTAAACACGTGTAAAATGGATTAAACCAATCGACCGGGGAGTCATGATACGTCATAAACTTCGACTTTTTTATCACTTTATATACAAACACTGCTGATTTCATCTTAATTGCGTTTCCGTTTAAGTTTGGTATATCTGCAATTCAAAGAGTCTGCCCGGACAAGAGACCCATCGTTTACAAAATAAGATAAATCCCTTTCACTTAAGGATGCTTCAGACCAAATTTTGACAGTACAAAGTACATGTGTTGATAACATAGAATGATTTTTTCATCATATTTTCACAGACGTGAAAGTTGTTTTACTCCAAATTTAGACAAAATCAAGTCGATAACTTCCCCCTTTTGGGCGGAACCAGGGGATGGGCTGGGGTTGAAATATGTAGAAATTATTTTGCTCACAAGTACTCGTAAAATGAAGTGTGTACACATTTTTTTTGTTTTTTTTTGTTTTGTTTTTGTTATTTTGTTTTTTTGTTGGAACCTTAAATTTCTAGAAATGCTGATAGAGAATCGAAGAGTATTTGATAGCAGCATCTGTGCTAATTATGTAAAAATACTGTAAAATTTACAAATAAATTTAAGGTAGTTGGGCATTTTGGCCCCACTCCTTAACCTTTTAGGTCGGTTAGGGGCATAATGTCCATATTCTGTATAACTGCTATCCCATGTTAATAACTTTTACTCAAAAAAGCGTTATTTAACTAGAGAGACTGTTAAATTTTAGTACCTCCTCAAAAGGAAATTCAGGATCCTGAGGAGCATGAAATTAACAGTTTTGTTAAAGCATCTTAAAACCTTTCCACTCATTGAAGTATAGGATCATTTAATGTCTTTTGGCCTCAAAGCTCAGACCTCTTTGTGGTGGAACTATATACTTCACAATTTCCTTGCTCCTTTCGCATTGGCGGGTTTCTTCAAAGGATGTGTTTCACGACATTTTCAATATTTTAAGAACATCTATTTGGACAAAAACATGTAAATATTTTAGGTGAACAAGAACTGTAAGCTTGTTAAACAGACTTCCAAAACTCTTCATTTGTTTAAATTTTTATGAATGTGTTTTTGACAGACAGACAACGGACGCCTCGCCTTTGACACAAAAGAGCTAAAATTCAACACAATATTTTTTCTTTCTTTTAAAGCAAAAATATCCAGAATGAGCAATGTCTTATAAGTACTATTCAAGGTTTTCTTAAAAATCATTGTAACATATATAATAATTTAATTTCATTTAGCATTTAATGTAATTGGGTTATAACAACGAAAAACGGTATTAAGAACATTAAAAAAGTCAAAATTCACGACATAAACAGTTGTAAATTGAAGCTGATTATTTTATCCCATTGTTGTAAAGTTTTGTAGATATTTAGGCGATACTTTCTGTATTCTCAGTGTTTAGTATTATCTATATAATGGAGACTCTTTTTATACGCTAACAGAGGGTCATCGCTTCTGTCAAAACAATTCTGGCAAAACTGGCGATAGATTTTGGCATGCAATATCAGCAGATAGTTTGTTGGATATTTTGATTGAAGTAAATAAGGTAGTGTCAGTGAAAAAAGTACTGTAACATTAATAAATAACTGGTCCCAGTTTCTTTAATCTTCAACTTGAGAAAAGTTCCTTAAACGTAATGGTTTCCTTTGGTAATTCAGATTTCAGGAAACTGGGGTCTTAAGTTATGAAACCTTTAACTTAAGCCAAAATTAAACCGTTTAATAAGAAATTCTTCCGGGAAAAGGCTAATGTAAAACTGATTCTCTATCTTTGGAATCACATCTGATATGGTTACAAGAAAATGTTTATGATAATGTGCAATACGTCAAATCAAATATGAAACAAACTGTGACCCTCTTTTGACCGGCTTGATTATGTTTTCAAACGAGGCTGAATTCATTGAAGAGCTCGTCAAACCTTTCACATTCAGATATATTTGATGATGTCCTGTATTTAGACGTATTATTGACTTTATCGTGTATATCAGATTTTGAAATTAAGGACTCGACAGACTCTTCTTCTTCACCGATTTTTTTTCTTCAACGAATTCATCCTAACTTTATATTAAACTGTACAACTTTTATCCTATTGTAGATTTTCCATTTATGGAGAGAAACAACTCTGCAACCCCAATCTACTTATAAATGGTGTTTTCATTCCATGTTCATGATCTTGCTCTCAACATCACGAATTCCGTGCATAATGACGGCAATTGACCCAAATTTACATGGCAGAAGTCGTCGATGAAACGGAAGACGCTCAATCTTCCGGAACACCTGATGTAATTCTCATAGTACTTTTCGTGTAAAGCTTTCATTTGTTCTTATTGTTCCTTAGTGTTATTGGATTTGAGTTTGGATTATAATCTTGTTGAAATGTTGGTATTTTTGTTCCTTTGTCGGTCTTTATGTGGACACGGGTTTCCGTACCGGCCGGACGTACATATGGAAAAGCTTATGTTGTAAACATATATTTACCAATCAGTTTTAAGATCACAAACAACCATTTCCAGTCAGTATATATGCTGATTTTTATTACCTCTCTGCTTCGTTAATAATGTATATGACTTTCTCGATTGAAATTGAACGTCGAACAACATACAGTTGAACGTGTGATATTTCTTATATCGAGCCCCTGGCATCTGTTCCTATACAAAGTCCACTGGACTGATCTTTTCTGCTTTTGCTACTAAGGCATATAACTATGTCGAGCCTGTGTATAAATGTACGGTTCAGGATTCTTCACAACATAGGATTTGAGTTAATGGTTTGGGAAATCTTAGCCTCATTTTGGGACACAATGGTGAATTTGGAAGATTTTTTAAAGATTTTATTGCAAATTTGCTTACATATGAAATAGTTTGAAGTGGGAATGGCGTTCATTGATGGTCCAGTAAAATACATTTACAATTCATCGTTTATTTCTAGTAATGTACTTCCAGTTCTGTGTATGTACGCATCTGGTGGAATTTGTTTTCATAAAATTACTTACCATCTGGTGATATTTCTCAAGTATGAAAACATGCACTTTTTATACCTGAAGAATGATCTTTAATTGGCAATGTAATACAATGATATTCATTCCTTTAATACAACTAAATTATAGACACAATAGAATTCCTTGGTAGCCGTAAAAACGATGTATTCATGTGTTCAATCCAGTTAGCTTATCTCCTGACAGTCATCTGTTAATTGCAGTAACTATTACTCCAACCATATTTCCTTCAGACAAAACATTTGTGACCAGGTTTCACCACGATAATTCTCCATTTCAGACATGAAGTTCTGACTTTGAAGGAAATCCCAATATCTTTGAAGAACCTACATTTCTCCGTGTTTCCCATTGCTTATCATGCATCACAAAGACATTTCTCATTTTTTGCCATCAAATTGTTTTTTGAATTACTACTTTATTCACTGTAGTCTATTTAAACTTTCTTTACATTATGTTCCTGAATTGCCTGCAATCGGATGGCGTCCACTTCCAACACAACTAACAGTTACATAATAACGTTACGTTCTCATCTCAGGCCAAGCCTCTTTTTTTCCTTTTCCTTCCGTCTAACAACCTCGATGTTTCTCTCCTTCCACACACTTTTCCGTAGTTTGATAGGCCGATTACCAACATACTTCCCTATAAAAGAACAAATGTAACATTAATTTCAAGGTTAAAATGAAACAAATCTGGCGAAAACTACAAAACCTCAATATATCTAGGCTGTAATTATACATTTTCATATTTTTTGATAATATCAAGTTGGCGTCTACGACTAAGAGGGTCGTATTTTTTTAGGAGTGTTATTACATCGAAATATCAAAGAGTGGCACAGTAGCATGACACGAAACCGGTAACATTTTCCTGTACACCGACTGACCATTACAAAATTTTACAGAGTTGGTCTGTATCGATAAGGACAGAGCGTCAAAGGCACTCTATTACCACGAGAAAAATTAGGAAGTTGAGTATCTGAGCTTGATGAGAGAATACTAATTAAGATCCAAAGTTATATTTCTGATACAATAGTGCAGTGGAAAAACTCTTATAATGATAATAAAAAGGTCCTAATTATTCAAATGTTGGTTAGAGAAAACACGTGGTTTGTGAAAATTTTCAAAATTGAATTTAACAAAAAGGGGAAACATTCTTTATCATTTCACAGCTGAAGCTTTATCGAGGCAGATCAGATTGATTTATTTTGAGTGTTAATTGTACATTTTACAATCTTGTTTGTTCAGTGGCAGAGATCTAGAATTTTCACTGATCTCTGGTTCATTACATCTATCTTTTGAACAACAGGGCCTAAATTTGTACCATCCCTGTCTACTGACCTATGACCTCTATTGGAAGCTACATGTAAAAAAAAATCTTGACCATATCTTGAGCTGTAGAAATTGATTGGTGTAAAGTTGACAGCATAAATAACTCCAATTATCTATAAATATATAAGAATTCTTTATTCGACATGAACAATCTGCAGGCCGTGTACTGTAGAAATATTTTGAATTTAAATTTTCGCGGGAAAAGAAAATAAAATCGCAATCGAAATTGCCTATAGAAAACTCATTTTCCTTCACATAGCTTCCGCTAAAATACTTTTTATTGGTTTCATGGTATTAATAAACTGAAAACAGGAACACTAGGGAATCGTTTTTACAGTATCATACTATCCATGATGTAATTCCAAAACTAGTGGAAAGTAATTTAATTATTTCAATTAATTTTATAATACAAAGTTAACTTTTAATATCGAAATTCATCGTATCTTGTTAAGTAGCAGTGCGGACTGATATTCAACACCAATAAAAAAGTGCTTTATTTACCAATTAACATAATCTGAACATTCAAATCTGTGCTGTTTTATCATATATCTATTTATAGTATTATATCATACTCTATTTATAGTTCTTTATCAGTGCAATCTGATTTTAAAACTCTCCCATTTGATGACGGTAATGTATACGTATAACCACTAGAGAGGTGGTTTGGTTTGTATGTTAAATCCCATCAACGGTTTTATTACAGCCGTACATTAACGACGTGTTCATAACCCTATAATCACCAACCAATGCTGGTTTATGACGTCACATCGTAGGCCATCCAACACTCTCTGAATATTCCCTCAGGAAAGCATGTCACAATAAATAGACGCCCACTGACACATTCTAACAAGACATCAATGCAGCAATGCTTTGTTTTCAAATACTGCGGAGGTATGTGTGTCATACAAAGGGTGATATGCACTGTGTATTGCAGCTGTCTCCAGTTACCGTACCCAAAATAAGCTCACAGATGCGTTATATTCAATAAACTGAATATAAACTTGATTGACTTTATCATAAAAGTTAGTTAAACTTATATCAATCACCATTATTTGCCCGAATGGAAGCACGAGATGTCTTATTGCGAGAGGAAACCAGAGTAGCTGGGGAAGCTTACGTGACCGATAATGCCTAATTTTTTTACTGACCATTCGTGAGTGGGGACCAGGAATCTTACATCGAAGGCAACATGGTTAGTAAACGACGTATTTTCCCTAATACTACAGCACATCTCTGTTGTACAAGTTCGAGGCTATACATTATCTAGGAATGAATTCCATCGTGACCACCTTCATACTGATTTTCCCTAATACTACAATACATCTCTGTAATACGAGTTCGAGGCTATAAATTATCTTGTCCTGAATTCCATCGTGACCACCCCTATAGTCAACAGCTGATTATAAGGTGTGCGGTGTTGGGCAGTTAATCAAATAAACTAACAAAAGTAACATGACAACGATGTGGTTGTGTGATGAGGAGAATGGTGTGGTTGTATGAGGAGGAGAATGATGTGGTTGTATGAGGAGGAGAATGATGTGGTTGTATGATGAGGAGAATGGTGTAATTGTATGATGAGGAGAATGATGTGGTTGTATGATGAGGAGAATGGTGTGGTTGTATGATGAGGAGAATGATGTGGTTGTATGATGAGGAGAATGATGTGGTTGTGTGAGGAGAATGATGTGGTTGTATGATGAGGAGAATGATGTGGTTGTATGATGAGGAGAATGATGTGGTTGTATGATGAAGAGAATGATGTGGTTGTATGATGAGGAGAATGATGTGGTTGTATGATGAGGAGAATGGTGTGGTTGTATGATGAGGAGAATGGTGTAATTGTATGATGAGGAGAATGATGTGGTTGTATGATGAGGAGAATGATGTGGTTGTATGAGGAGGAGAATGATGTGGTTGTATGATGAGGAGAATGATGTGGTTGTGTGAGGAGGAGAATGATGTGGTTGTATGATGAGGAGAATGATGTGGTTGTATGATGAGGAGAATGATGTGGTTGTGTGATGAGGAGGGTGTGGTTGTATGATGAGGAGAATGATGTGGTTGTGTGAGGAGGAGAATGATGTGGTTGTGTGAGGAGAATGATGTGGTTGTATGATGAGGAGAATGATGTGGTTGTATGATGAGGAGAATGATGTGGTTGTATGATGAGGAGAATGATGTGGTTGTATGATGAGGAGAATGATGTGGTTGTATGAGGAGGAGAATGATGTGGTTGTATGACGAGGAGAATGATGTGGTTGTATGATGAGGAGAATGATGTGGTTGTATGATGAGGAGAATGATGTGGTTGTATGATGAGGAGAATGATGTGGTTGTATGATGAAGAGAATGATGTGGTTGTATGATGAGGAGAATGATGTGGTTGTATGATGAGGAGAATGGTGTAATTGTATGATGAGGACAGTGATGTGGTTGTATGATGAGGAGAATGGTCACATTCGAGAGTGCCATACAATGTAATCAGTAACATGACGGTCAATATATGTTATGTAGTACTTCTGTCAACACAGAAACAAGATAATCTCCCATTCTAACTCGGTCAGAAATCAAACTATAAAGACCGAGGAAATGAAGACTCTACTCAGCTAACAATTCTCCGTGTCAAACGAGTACACTGTGATGATATCAGACAGCAATGTGCTAGTGTGGACGAAGAGAAAACCGAACAATAAGAGTACATATGACATGTATTATACAATTTTGGCTTATATTGATATCAACCAGTGATTCAGATTCATTGATACCAAATATAGCCGTTATTTGATGGAATATTTGCTGATATTATCCTTTTTAGAACATCGCACTGCGTGACCGTCGTGCAATTTCTTTAACACAATGGAATGATATCTGTGTAGAAAGCAACGACCTTTATAGAAATTCTGTCACTATCTTCTGATTCCCGTCGGGAATGGCACCGAACAAAAGTCTGAATAGACAGCATCACCGCTGTGTTTACTTTTTGAAATGAAATTGTATCGGGGATATAAAGCTGTTCTCAATAAATATGCCATATTCAGGCGTCTCTCGTAAACCGCTGCCGCACGAGTAACGGCGACCTGCAGTGTTGTTTTGAAAGAGATTTAATGTAAGATGAGAAATCGACAAGATATACATAGTTATAGTTTAAGATCAGTCACTATTAAGAAGGAGGTAAAATTCGGTAGTTAAGGAATGTTGTTTTAGATTACAAATTTTAGACGTTTGACTGAAAATCGAATCAACATGAGTTGTAAAGAAAGCCAAGAACTGTTAAACTATAACAACTGAAGCAAACATAGTTTTGCATTTGTTTATATTTTACTGATAAAAAGATTAAACATTTGATATATTTGTTTACTTGGAATCTTTTCGCTAGACTTTTTAACAGGGACAATTAAACCTTACAAGAATCATGATTTGATTTGATGTACCGATATGATTATGTACAGGTGTCTTTCAACAAAAGCATTAAAATCTTTACATTTTATAAGACACAAAAAAAATCTAATTTTGAAAACAAATCTACACAAGAAAAGGATTATTTAACTCATATGGACCCATGATACAAACTATCAGTAACCTTGCTCATTTACAAAGTGATGTATAGATGTCTTGCACGAAAATTTTAATATTTTATTATACACAAAAAAAAATCCCGATGCAAAATATTAGTATCACGATAGTACAATCACACAGTGATGTAAAATACTAGTATCACGATAGTACAATCACACAGTGATGTAAAATACTAGTATCACGATAATACAATCACAGTGATGTAAAATACTAGTATCACGATAATACAATCATACAGTGATGTAAAATACTAGTATCACGATAGTACAATCACAGTGATGTAAAATACTAGTATCACGATAGTACAATCACAGTGATATAAAATACTAGTATCACGATAGTACAATCATACAGTGATGTAAAATACTAGTATCACGATAGTACAATCACAGTGATGTAAAATACTAGTATCACGATAGTACAATCATACAGTGATGTAAAATACTAGTATCACGATAATACAATCACAGTGATGTAAAATACTAGTATCACGATAGTACAATCACAGTGATATAAAATAAAAGTATCACGATAGTACAATCACACAGTGATGTAAAATACTAGTATCACGATAGTACAATCACAGTGATGTAAAATACTAGTATCACGATAGTACAATCACAGTGATATAAAATACTAGTATCACGATAGTACAATCACAGTGATATAAAATACTAGTATCACGATAGTACAATCACAGTGATATAAAATACTAGTATCACGATAGTACAATCACAG